TGGTTTTTTTTTATTTGTTGTGAAATAATATACATATGTTTATTTCGATTCCAAATTTAATTACTTTAAAATCAATTGAAAAGAGTAAATTTACAATTAGTAAAGTTTTATTTAGTAACGTTTACGGCTATATTAGGTTAGGTTCGGTTAGGTTGGAGTTGTGGCATTGTACCCAAGAAAACTCACTTTTGCACATATAATAATCCGTTGTGGTACCACAGGATAGGCTTTTTTTCATACATTTACTAAATGTCAGTATACGACAATTCGTCCAAAAAGGCAACAACTCCATCATTAGGTAAAGATCAACCACCAGTCTGACAGTTCTATAAACTTGTTTAAATCTTTAACTTTGCGTTATCCAGTTTAGTCGGGTCGATATGAAAAGAGGCCCGAAGGATTTTTGATATGCTCCTAGTTAAAGATAGACATGATAGAAACACGAGAAATTGAGCACAGTTACGGCTATGTTAAATTATTAAAAATTATTTAATTAAGAAATTTATTTCTTACAGTATGAAGTATGAAGTATAAAGTATACAGTATAAATATAAAATAATAAATATTCATAACCCACAATCGATGGAATTTCAATATAAATCTCTGTTGCCGTACATTCTTCTATGCTGTTATGCGGTAGTAAATATTTGTATGCGTTTAATGTTGCGAACTGAGAAATATGCTGAGAAATTACGTACATCAACTTGTGGTTATATCCTACGGGCGGGTACAGCATGTCAAAAAATTCCATCAGCAGTTGTTACCTCTGACCTTTTCTAAAGGAAATTAGCTACGTAAATGTTTATAACAGATGAAAGTATGCGCACATTAATATAACATATAAAGAATCCAATGAGCATCTAACAGAATGTGAAACATTAAAAATAATAATGAAAAAAAATTCCAAGTATATCTTTTAATAAAGCAGGAGTATATGGTTTTACAGTTACAGTTGAAAAGGTACTCTGCACAAATAAACATATTCAGTACAAATCGAAAGAGCATTTATTTATTTTATCTGGTATATCACCTGGTATATCTGTGTTGAAATGCCTTCCAGCTTTGTGCTTGGTTCGTTTACTTGTCATGTGCAACTTGTTGCGGTGCTCAGTGCGCAACAATTTGATGTTCATTTTGATTGAGCTTTTGAAGTAAACATGCACTGTCCCGAAAAAAACATTACTACTGAAGCGTCGTACATCAACCTATGACGCTTATGTGTGTTTATATATGGTATGTAGCCGTCAGGATGATGTCTACTTATATACATGAGACCGAGACCCTTGGCTTTGAATTTCTTTCCCTTGGCATATTTGTACGCTCGCGTCTGTTGCACATTATTTTATAATAATTTGCGGTATTTGTTCGTGTTTTCCATTTGCTTCAATTCACTTAAAATTCAAGCAATGAATGTATTCGTATTCCACCTGTTCACATCACATGCCCATACTATTGTAGTGGGCATCAGCGGGGAGTCCTTAAAATTATCCTTGTAGCGGACTGAAATGTTTTGAAATTAAAATAAAGAAAAAGTTCTTGAATTGAATAAGAAAAATTGGTATAAATGAGAAAATGTTTTCAAATTGCTTTAACATAAAGAATATCTTCTGTAAAAAGTACAAAAATTATTCGATACTTTTAGATTTTAACTTTATAGATTTTTTTGAAGTGCTGTATACTTTATTAAAATGCTTATATTTCGTATGTATATGGAAATTTTTTAGTAGTTTATATGTAGTTTTAGTAGTTTTTTTTATTATTTAAAAGTTGAAGGTGTTCAAATAGAAAAGAAAAGACAACAACAAAAATTTTAGTTAATTTATTTAGATTTGACACATAATTAACACATTAGGATAAAAGGAATGACTAATATAAGACACAACGATATGATATTACAAGAGAAAAAGAGAGAAAGAACGAAAATAAGAGAAGAAATGAGTGAAATATATTAAAAAATATAGCTTTAGATAGAAAAATAAAATGCAACAGATTAATGGTATTAGACTAAACCCGTTAACGAATTGCGGCTTGACGAAGCATGTCTCCCTAGACGCCTCTGTTGCGTGCGCGCTTTCTCCAGCCTCGTATATCAAGTCCAGTTAGTGCTCCCTCAACTTGAACACTCCACCGGAAACACGGTCTACCTCTACGTCTTCTTCCGCCAAGTACTACTTCAAACACCTTTTTTGCCTTTTAACGAGTGGACCAAAAGGTACCAGCAGTTTGTTACGAATTATTGAAGTGTTCGATTTATCGGGGTATATTTTTGTTTTGAAAATTTCAATAAAAATGGTATTGTATATATGGTAAACAAGCACAAAATTGCAAGATGAGTAAAAACATTGTAACATCGTGTGCAGAATACAATCATAAAAAAGGACTTCATTTTAAGATTTTTTTTGTTAAGACCGGCTGTCACTTCCAAAAATGCCAAAAAAGCATTGTAAATTAAATTTAAAATATATTAATATATATTGAAAAAAAGCTTTCTTTTCTCTTATGTTCTATTTTTCTCATTTTATAAAATACAATGAAATTAATTAAAATTTTACTAGGTTTTTCTTTGCTGCTGCAAGTAATTATGTCTTGTTTTCTGAGCTTATCTCCAACAGATACGCGGTCGCTTCGATATTAATTATGTAATGGGATTGTAATTTTTGTGTGAAAGTGCAATTGCTGCTGTTGGTGACGTAAATATAAAACAAAAAAAAAAAAAAATATCTACATATATACAATATTAAATCGTGCTTAATATGAAAAAGCAATTATCAGAATAAAAACGCAATTATAATAATTCTGTAACGCCAACACCAACTGTGATAATATTTTGATATTTTTACTTCAGTAGGATGTTTTATTAATGCGTTATTTTGTTATAATTGTTATAATTTTAACTGCATTTACAAGGTTTATCTATAAATATATAACTAAAAATTTGTTATGCAAATTCTATTATTGGAATAATTTCCTTTTGGTATTTATGGCATGAGGACTTGTACTTACATTTCTGCACAATTGAATAAGTTTGCATTTTGCAAATTTTAATCCTAGAGAAATATACTTGCAGTGTTCTGCAGAGTCAACTGAAGTAGAGCTAATTATATCCTTGCGTGCTTGAAAAGAGTCCTTCTTGTTGCACTAATGAATTTCTGATTATATGCGATATAAATGCAAATAATACTAAGCCATGCTAATTCAAATTACCTTACAGATATTTATGCTATAGCAAAATGGAAGCAATAAATCTTAATCAATTTCAAAATACTTTTATATTCTAAAGTATTAAATTTTTTTTGCATAAGTATTAACTATTTTTAAAATCTTTTCCCTATTAATCTTTACAAAACTTCAAGAAACCAGTTTTTCATTTTTTATCTTTTAAATTTGCAAATAAAATAATAAAATTTGAGATAGAGAACCATATATTCAAATTAATGCTAACCTATACCAAGGATTAAGAACTTTTGCACCTTGACTTACTCTGGGACTTACTCTGTTAATCTGTTAATTGGAATCAGTTTATGTATGTCTCTTTGGACACTTGAGGATATATACACTGCAGTTTGGGTACACATTAGGAATAGGAAAGGAAATAATTGTTAAGTACTTATTTATACGTAATCTTATTTTTATTATCTCAAAAGAAGTACTTTTGATCCAACTTATATTTTAAAGCGAAACTAATTATAAAATTTTGTATTTTAATGTTAATATGTTTACAAGTATTTTACATTTATTATACATTTATATATTGAATTAAATCGAGAGAAATATTCTTCATTCATAACCTCAAAAGAGTATGTACAAAATAGATATTTTTATGCAAAGTCTAAAGACTCAATCTCCGAATTTAAACAAATGAAAGCTGGTGTGCCACAAGGTAGCGTACTAGGTACATTACTCTACTTGCTATAAACGTCTGATATCCCGATACCTTCTGATCCTCAAAGTCTGATAGCAACTTTTGCAGATGACACAGCATTAATTGCAGCTAATAAAAATTTTGAAAAGCAACAAATGGGGAGTTAAAATAAATACAAGCAAAACAGTACATGTTATCTACACGAATAAAAAATATGACCTAAAACGTATGAAAATTAATAATGATGAAGTCTTCACACACACAAAAGCAAGTTAGCTTGGTATTACTATATATAGCAGATTAACTTGGAAAGACCATATCAAAGCTAAAAGTAATGAAATTAAGCGTCGCTTTGGACAATTGTACTGGTTACCCTGCTCAAAATCAAAAATAACAGTGAAAAATGAACTCTTTCGAAATATGGGGCACAGCATGCAAGTCCAACATACAAATACTGCAAAGGCTACAATCAAAAATACTTAGGACTATCATCAACGCTGACTGGTAAATCTTAAACTATGACATTCATCGTGGCTTAAAGATACTCTTCGTTGCAGACGCTATTCGAAAAAATCGTAAAAATCACACAGATGGATTACCCTCCCATCCTCCCAGTTAAACACTAATTGTTGTTAGGTGCGTTATTGTTGTTCTAAAGTATGACTATGCCAGTGCGGTTCATGAAATGTATATGAACCTATCAGTTAGTCATGCGCCTCAATAGTGCTACTATTGCGCTTCAAAAAAGCAATGAAACGCATATATATCGTTGGAGATAGCACGTCTTTTTATATTATCATGTTATTGAAGGTAAGCACTTCACACTTGCTCTTCTTTTATCTTTCTATTAAACGAACAGTTCTAAACCAAATGGAACAGAGCTTTCAATGTTTACATATATATATAAAAGTTCTGTAGTGAAGAAAATTGGAAATAGCAACGGTAAATACAAAAATATTAATACCTAAACAAAACACTTAAATGCTGTTAACATGTATAGAACTTTTATTCTGAGAGTGTCATTTTCTATTAATTAACATCACTAAAAAAGGTCAAATAATAATGAAAACATGTAAATGTTGCCTTATGTATCACATATCAAATCACATTAATTCCTATTCTGAATTTATATTTGCAGATATACAAAAAATCTATCATCAGACAAAATTAATTTGAGTACGTTTCGTGGCGAAGGTGAACTATCGAATCTGCAATTGGATGAAGCTGTACTGACAGAGCTGCTCGAACTGCCGTCTTGGCTCCGTTTAACATCTGCCTGGTGTAACCATGTGTCGTTTCGTATTAGTTGGACAAAGCTGAAAAGCTTGCCTATAACATTGGTAAGTTAATTTAATATATTTCATAGCTAATTAAAAATTAATTTAATATTTTATTATCTTATTGCTTAACAGACACTGGATGAAGTAAATATAACCGTGGAAACATGCGAACCGAACTCACGTAATCAAGACAACGGCTCACCGAGCGGTTTGCAGTCCATACCACAGGTGCCACAGGGTAAATACAGTTATATACACAAAGTGGTTGATGGCATCACAATTATTGTAAATACGGTGAATGTAAAATTTTTAAGTCCGGCGTTCACAGCCTCAGTTCAGGTGAATAAGAAAATTTAATTATATAAAAATAACAAAAATCTTACTTGATTTATGGTCGTTTCATTCTTATTAAAATCCGAACATAACATTTGATATTTATAATAATTTTTTTTACTAAAAGCTTAAATTTAATTTTATTATTACTACATCTAAAACTTATTTTGATCATCTATTTAATTATAATTTTATTTATTTAGCATTTGTTGTATTTTATTTACAATGATTCTGTTCTAGACTAATTTATTTGTATTATTTATATTTAATTGATAATATTTGAAAATGTTTTCTGTTTCTAGATGTCTCGCATACGTGTTGAGTCAAAAACACCAAAATGGGCTAATGGTGATTTGCGTCTAACACGGCTCAAAGATGCACAGAAAGGCATTATACTCATATTCAAAGAACTATCATGGCAAACAGTACGAATTGAAGCCAGTTCCACACAGGATAAGTCACTGACACCACTGCGCTTACTCACAAATCACGCGCGGTGTCGTATTACAATACGAAAGCGTTTATCTGATTGCTCCTTGCTAGCATCGCGTTTAGTTTTAATATTGGATGATTTGTTATGGGTACTTACTGATTCACAGTTGAAAGCAGCCTTACACTTCGTTGACTCATTATCGGGCTTAATAAAAGCTGCAACTCATGCTACTCAAAAGACTAAAGCTGCCAAAAAAATTGAGGTTGGTATAGTAATTTGTATATTTTTTTAATTTATTTTTATCAATACAATTGATTTTCAGACATTACCAGAGTATCAAGCACAAATTGCTCAGCAATTGAATCGCCAGTCAGAGACACACACAACAACTGCTCAGAAAATGTTTAACGCCTTTGATGTGAGAGAAACTTCGTATCATTTCTTCAGTCAGCGGATCGATTTACATTTATGTGATGATGAAGGAGGTGATATATATATATATATAAACTGATATTACATCATTATTATGTGTATATTAGCTTTCTGAACCTTTTTTGCACCCGATAGGAAAACCAAACTACTTTAGTATTTTATTAAGTTGTATCTTATTGTAATAAAGCCTATATATTATACAATGAATATTCAATTAGTACAGCAATATTTATTTTTTAATTTAATTTATTTAAAATAGTAATGTTAGCATATAATAGTATTAACGAATAGGTCCCACGTTGCGTATTACAGATAGATAATCCGCAATAGCGATAATTTTAAACACCTTAACTCTATTGTACATAGTTAAAAAGATGTTTCAGAAAAAAAAAATTTGTAGATTCAATTAATTTAGAACATATACAACGGATTAATTTAACAATACAAAAGGGTACTACTTCTCTAAAACACTGGTAAGGTCTCAACCAATAAAACACTGTGGCTTTAAATTACACCAAACAAATAGCATCACCGTTTTTTATAAACATTGGCTTTTGCAGTGCATGAGCATTATTGTAGACAATCCATTTCTTGTTCCGAGTTCAAGAAAAACAAATCACAAACATCAATTTCTTTCCGAAGAACATGAAGAATCCATATATCGTTAGAAGTTTCATATGATCATGAACAGTCGAATTCAATAGATTTATTCTTTTAGCAATCTCACGAATCTCTGGTTACTTGTCGGTTACCAACAATTAATGCCTTTATTGCAGGGCTACACGCATTGTTCGAAGAGATGAAAACATCGTCCGCGATTGATAGACAGTGTAAATGATGAGACGTAGAAAATGAAGTTATTGGCTATATTACCTTGCTGTGCTGGGCGTTTTTTATTTTGATATTATTCATATTGATAATCTGTTGGTTCTTCAAAACATATATATTGTTTAATTGCTGTTGTTTAAAATTCTACATATTTCTCTATGCTATACCATTTTTTGGTATGAGTTATTAAGTTTCTGCTTTTACTCAAAATTAAATAGAAATGCAGTTTGTATATATGGATAAATTTATAGGTTTATATAAAAAAACCTTTCCATTTGTCAACAAAATTGGCTTAAACTTTTCAATTAAGTCAACAAATCAAAGTAAAAAATTATATTAAAAAATTTCACCGATTCAAATTTAATTTTTGGTGCTTATAATATAAATAAAATTCAATTAACAAAATTAAACAAAATTTCAATAATTTATTGCAGATGGTCGTTCAAGATATCCTGATTTGGATAAGGGTGGCGCTTTACAAATATCTGTGCAAGCATTTCAAATCGATTATTATCCGTACCATTTAGCTAAATCGGATCGAATGCATTGGGCTAAGTAAATAATTTTGGTATACCATATAAACAATATAATTTTTTCCCTTTTGCTTTTACAGATATAAAGAAGCATCTGTCTCGCCGGCGCTTTGGCTAAAAGAATCATTAAATGCCTTTCGTGAAGCAGTACTTAGTTTAAGTCAACCAAATCGTCCATCTACACATGCGCCTTTAGAACGTACAACACCAGCTTCACCAGTAACACTAAACGCAAGTGCATTAACAACACAATATTCCAAATATAGTAGTGAACCGGTATCAAGTGGTAGTAGTACACCAAGTGCTAATGGAATTGGCACTGGCTCGAATACATCGCCTAGCAATCAAGCAATACATTCTTATCAACATAAAACTACTATGGATAATTTGGCTAAACTAATGAGTGCCTGTGTTATACTAAGAATTGAGGATTTTACCTTGTATCGCGTAACAACATCGGGTAAAAAGCAAATGCCAAAGGAGTTCATATCAGGTAAATATTTGTAATATTCAATATAGTTAACATATATTGTATGTATAGGAACTATCGCGTGTGTGCACTTTGTCGTACAATGCATACTCATATATATATATAAATTTAATTATATATGATGATTGTATTGTTGTCCTGTTACGTATTTTACTAATGCTAATTTTTACTTATGCTTTTTTTTGTCGCTACAAATATAACCGTGATATTATTCAAATATATATTAAATATATTATGTAACTTCTTGCTTTTGTGATATCACTTTAACGTAGCACAACATAAAAGGAAGACCAAACCAGGTGATTAAAAAGTTCTTTATGATTTTTATATTTTTATATGTACAACCAATGTTGGTTGTCTTTTAAGAAATCGATTATTTTTGTTGCATATTTATTTAGTATCTTCATTCGGAATTATTTAATATTCAGTGTTCTTCATACATATTATTAATTACATTTTATTAATTTTTTGTATATTTCAGTGTTCTTTGAATTTGAAAATATACGTTTTTCATCAAGAATTGATTGGTAGTTTAGTCTAATTCTAAAATTAAATTTTGAAATCAATGTTACTTTTTAATTACGTATAAAAATAAACCTTTGTATATGAAAATTGAATGCAGGTTGTTTGTTTAAGATTATTATCAGTGCGATTGTTTCACCTTTTTACTATAGTTTCATATATGTGTATATGTTTTATATATTTTCAAATAAAGACTTAAATTAAAATTTTAGTTTTCATACTCATCAAACAATGTCGACGATATTCGATGTTTATAAACTATAAAATATATATAAAATAGAAATCTCTAGGTGCAAACTCAGGTTATAAATTTAGTTATCACTCTCCTTAAACATAGTTCTTATATATATATATATATATAGATATATATATTTATTTGAGAAACTTATAATGTTGTACTTATTATCGAAACCCGAAAGGACTAGCCGCCTCTGGAACCTATGTTATGATATCAGTCTTTACCATATATTTATAAACATTATTCTATTTCAGTTCTTTATATACTTGAAGTTTAGAAATAATTATATATACAAAATGGAGTATATGAGATAGCACAAAGACTTGTACTAATGTTTCAAAAAGTACTAATGTGGTTAACAAAATTAAAGAAAGTATTAGTACATAAGTTTTCAAAAATAAAATTTCGGGTCCCTCAATCCTTAACCCTAATACTCGCATTTGTTTAATGTTAATTTTGGTATATAAAAAATAGAATTTCAGTTCCTTCAATGCTCAACTTTAAAATTCGCATTTGTTTATGGTTATTTTGGTATACATGTATAATTATATTTAATAAGACAATAAATTTTTTTTAATAAATAAAAACATTACATTTTTTTCTACTGAAAGTTCCCAACTGAAATGGAATATCTCTGTTTGCTTAATACTCAAATCTTATGTTTAAAACTTTATAATAATTATATATAAACATATCATATTAAGCTTTTAATTTTATTTATATATAAATAATTTGCATGGATTTGCCTTGTAATAGTTGTTTTGAACTGTTCGTTAAACCAAATGTCATATAGATAATGCTAAAGTTTTTAATTTAAACTAACTTTGTTGTTTTGTTTTTTGTATGAAAGAGTATAGATTTAATTAAGTTCAATTTATAAATTTTTATATTTTTATTAATTTTGTTATAATATATAAATACTATATAAATATACTATATAAATATGTTAAATAAAATGATTTTAGGTGATAAAGATCGATATTCTTTTCCGGCCGATATACCAATCATACATGCAGAATTTACTTATTTTTACTATCCCGGTGATTTTATATTTCCATGTAAGATTTTAAACTCATATACATATTTTTTTTTTTTAAACTCATATCTATTTTAATAAATACTTACTTTATTTGTTAGTACCACCGTCCAAGATATTTGTACACATCAATCCTCTTCAAGTACACTTTGATTTAAGTTCAATTTTATGGTTAAATTCATTTGGTTTAAATCTGCACGAAAGCTTATTGCGTACGAGTGTTGGCTCACCAGCGTCAATAGAACGTGGATCAATATCTTCTATTGGTTCAAATGGTACACAATTGCCAGCATCTGCTGGTTCACAAACATTTCGTATGGAACAAGAACCATCGTTAATGTACATGGATGTAAAAGTGGAAGCAATTATGCCACGAATTGTTATCGAGTCATCAATAGAAACGCCTAATCAGAAAGATCGTCCTAAAATAATGCAAATACAAATATCACGTTTTGCTTTAACCAATATACGTGAAATGGGTTCATCTCGTGCTGATCTTGCACAAGCCTTACATTCGCTGCAGGAAGGTTCACTTGTATTTGGCACAGGTTTTCCTTCCACAAGCGGAGACATGTGCATAGTAACGGATCGGATATTATCACACGTTGCTGCTTCGGATGTCAGCAATATACCACATGCTTCAAATTCTTCTATACCAAAATCAGCTTCAACACAAAATCTATCTCGTTATGCCATGTGGTCAGAACCACGTGATGTTTGGTGCATTAAGCTTGATCCAGTTTGGGTTGATTTTCTTGGTGCACGTTCATTGGGACCAAATAAATCGATACCATTTGTAGACGCAGTTCCTATAACTTTATGGTTACATTCTGGTGATGGTGCCACAGCTACCTTAGCTGCTGGTACTGATTCACTGACGTCAACAGCAAAAAATTCATCCATTGAAACAAACATTTATCGCATGGATTATGCAAATAGTAATAATTTACCACGTAATCCATTTTTAAGTGAAGAAGATTTACGTGCCGATAGAAAATCACAGTGTTCGAATGGTTTATCTGCTGGTAGTGGTGCAAGTGTGTCCAAAGAGCGTACAGCAGATATGCATGCTATAGCGCATATATCCAATTTAGTTAGTATACAAATCGATCATTATCAATATTTGTTCCTATTGCGTTTAGCTGAAGAAATGAATGAAATGTCTACATTTCTGTCATTAGATGCGGAACGTATACTACAAAAGGTAAAAGCATAAATTTAATCTTAATTTTATTTAAATTATTTATTTAATGTGCTTATGTTTTCACTTTCAGCAAAATAATAAAAAATCAATTGTCTTTGGTTGTGTGATACCACAAATTGAAATCACGCTTGTGATGCCGTCACCAACACCTGGTAAGGAATCTAGTGGTGGTGATGCTGAAAGTGTGTTACCAGATTCAGCTAGTTTGGGTGATGATTTACACATGAATAGTAAGAATTTATTTTCGTTTCTTTTCATTTCAATTTTGTTGTATTTTATTTAAAACAAAAATTTCTTTCACATTTATTGTATTTATATTATTACTATATTTTTTACAAAAAATATTTGTCATTTATTTTTAATACAATTTTTGTACGCTTTTTGATTGGCTTTAAAAACTTTAATTAAAAATATAATTTTAATTAAAATATTAAAAATCAGAAACATATTTTTGGACTTTTCTAGGCTATATTTTGATTTAGAAAATATGTTTATGTTTTAATGCAAATATGTATATAATATATATAACATATAATATATATAATATTCACTTACATTTATTTCATAGACTCACTTTTTTTAAATATAAAAGGTTTAGCTAATAATTCAAATTAATAATAATTAGTATATTTTATTAAAAGTGATTTGAATTAATTTACTCTGTAATAAAGGAGAGTAAATTATAAAAAAAATAATTTTAATATAATTATAAAGTAATCTATGGTATATATAAATTATCTATATATAATCTATATATAGTTTCAAAAATATGTATTTTATTGTTACAGATATTTCGACTGTGGTCATCTTAAGGGTAGTGATATAATAAAAATGTTTATAGTATTGTTACAAATTAAAAATGTAGAGCAAAGAAACAATTTGGCAATACAATAACAATAAAACGATAAATATATACATTTAATAGAAATTCTAGCGAATTAAGTTATTTTCAGCTTCTTTTTTATCTACGTCATATACTGATATATTTTACTACTAAATGTATTTAATTTGTAAACATTTTTTACATTAAAGATATTAACGATAACACTCGTCAACTTGTATATACTATTTTTATATATTTTTATTGATTATACAAATAACCTATAACAACAAATAAAGGTCTTTTTGTTCTCGGTGACTTGCATTTAGTAGTTTCCAAATTAAAAGCCCGATATCTTGAAAACTAAACTATATTGACATATAGTGTACAAGAAAAATGTGTTATAATAAGGTTGCCTTTAAAATCTGTTGTAGAATAGGTGTACACGGAAAATCGAAATTGTGCTGCATTATTAACATAATCAAAATGAGAAAATAATCTTAATTATGTATTTATATATGTTTGTATTTATCCGCTAGACTATAGTTATCTATAGTTATCTAAAGTTATCTAATTAAAAAATAAAATAAAATGTAATTCGTGTTGTAAAGAAACATGAAATTATTATCAGACGAATACATGGCTTAGGACAAGGTGTGTGCTCAGAAAATATGACAGAAGAGAGGATGTATAAAATGGAGCCAAGAATAAGGGTGCGATTAGGTGGTAACTGGATAATTAGTCTGGATCGAGAAAAATTATTTATACCTGATATTAAAAATTTTTTAATAATTAGTATTATAAAATAGTCTTAAAATGCAAACATTCATTTGTAAATTCTCGTCCGAAAATGGAATATTATTAGTTATAATAATTTAAAAATCATTTACCAAAATAATACAATGTTCTCCATATTATATATGTAATTTGTATACAACTGTTACACAATGAAATACACAATTGAAAGTTTAGATGAAAAAGAAATTATTTTGATTATATAATTTAAAAAACAATCGGTTTTTTAATACTCACTTATTCTTAAATTATATTAATAATGTTTTGGTGTTGTTGTAACCTATATAATACCATCCACCTTGTAAACATGAAACTGCAATTAGTTGAATTTTATTGACGGAAACAAGAGGGTGTTCATTTTTTATATGTATATAGTGTTTTTTTAAAATGTCTCTTATACATTATAATAATTCAGTTTCGAATATTAATATAATTAAGTTCATGGCAAATTTAAAAAATCTTAAATGCGTTTTATTTGATTAGCAGTAAAACTTTCATATTTGATATATTTGATATATATTTAAAAAAATTGAATTTTATTTTTTTCTGTCCATAGTTTTTCGAAGTTTCAGAACCACCGTAAATATAAGGTCTAGTTGTTAAATATAAAAAATTTTATTATACTATTGTGATATTGTAACTTAAACTTTTCAATTATTAAAATACATATTTTAACGACTGCTTGATTGATTTATGGAGCCAATACAGTTACATACAAATTATTCTTTGTATGTTATAATAGTTTTTCTTAACACTTATTTAATAGCAGTGTAAAATTGTTAATTTATGATAGTATCTTTTATAAATATTCTCTTGTTGTGCCTTGATACCTTTCTTTTTGGATAAGCTTTGGTTGTTCCTTTAGGCCATCTAATGTTGTGTTACTAACATTTCCAATTTTATCAAAGTGTTTAGCCGTTCAATTTATTATATATTCTGTTACTGTTCTGGATTCGTTAGGTCTTATATTAATTTTGGAAGTGCAGTTTTTTTTGTGTGACATCAACGTAGACTCGAATACAAGCTATAAAAAATATATATTTAAATATAAATATATACCAACTATTCATAGATTCAAATATGCTTATAAATATTCGTCAATACTGTAGTATTATTAACATTAATTAAATAATAAGAATAGTTATAACCAGTATTCAGATACGAAAGCAGATCTCTATATTAATAAATATTTGGATTTTAATATACTTTAAATTGGACACTTCAATATAAGCATTAATTTTTTGATACCAGATATAAATGATTTAAAAAAAAAAATTAATGTAATACTAAAAATTTGCACTTACAAATAAAATTTATTTTTCTATATATTTATAAGTATTTATCTATAATCAGTCATTATATGTATTTTTAGCTTTAATCAGTCATTATTAAGTAAATATTGTCTTGTATACATGAATTTTGCTGTACTCTGAGTAGTTTGTGATAACGATTTGTAATATTAATTTATTTTTTCGACAAAATCACTTTACGATATTCATTAGCACAAGTTAATTTTATTAATTAAATAACAATCAATATCCATGAATTTTAAAAAGAATTTCACTTAAATATTTTTTAAAAACATATATTTTTTGCTTCAAAAATATTTTTAAATATTTTTTTTTTCAAAAAAAAAAAATTGCATGTTTTCACTTAACCACACCACAATTTACTTTGGGGATTTTATCTATTCTAAGCATATATATATAATAAAAATCACCATATATAAATAATATGCATACAAATTATTATTGTTTTTTTAAGAAAAGTCATCATACAATAATTTAAAAAAATGTTCTAATAGGTACAAATATGATGTGGCCACCGCCGCCTTTAGATCAAATTAAGAACAACACATTCGGAAGTGTTGAAACACCTTCACCTATAACAAATGAACCACCGTATGATAGTATACATATTTCAAATCCCAATACACATGGGTAAGTATTGGTTGAACATTTTGAAACCAAAAAAAATATATACTTATTTTCCAATTATTTACTTTATTTGTTATTTTTTTTAGTTATAATGTACAAATACAAAGCACGCCGACTGTAGCTTCATCAACACCGAGTCAAGGTTCTCGTCCAGATACTGGAGTATATTCACAATCAATAGCCTCATCTTCAAAAAGTTTTAAATCAACACGTAATTCTGCTAGTGACGCAACAAGCATAACAAAAGAAATTAATTCCAGTATGTTTATAAAGAGATGTTTAAATTTTAATATATATTTATTAAATAATTTTATTTTATATTATATATAGGTCTGTTATCTATGAAAAAAGGTTTTTCCAGTTTTATGACTTCCATTGATTCTGCTATTAAATCTGGTGCTCCAAATGATGATGCCAGTGATACGTTTTCGATACAAAGTGATATCAGCTCAGATTCAGAAAATTTCGCTATTGTTATGGGTGATGATAAGACTATGGATTGCATTGATGTGATGTTTAGGTAATTTTTTTGAAATTTTAAATAGTAAAGTATAGTCAAATTTCCATTACTCGAACTTCTATAACTCGAATTTTCTATAACTCAAACTATATAGAACGCAACTGGGTTCAGTTAGCTAATTACTTACAATCACAAGAAATTCTTTAACTCGAAGTCTCCATAAGTCGAACCTTTTCTTTGTAAAATGGTATTTTAAGTTGTGGAAGTGTGACTTTACTTGTAAATTTTGTAAATTAATTAATCAATTAGTTTTAATAGTAGTTTTATTTATCCTTATTTTTATTTTTAAAGAGAAAACTTCTATTTAAGTATTAAGAAAATAGGAGATATATAAAGTCCTTGACTTTTAAACTTGTTTTTTTTTTTCAATTTATCAATTTAATGTATTATTGTTCTAAAAATATTATAATGATAGATTTAATAAATAATTCATAAATTGTACTCAAAAAGTATCAATTTGTTATAATAATAAATTTAGCATTAAGATTTATCATTACGTTGTTAGAACAATTGCTTTCGAGATTATAGATCAAGATTATATTTATTGCTGATGCTTATATTTATTGTTATGATAAAAATTTCTGGATATACATTAAGTCAGAGATGCATATTCTTTTAGCAAATGTATACGTGTTTTAGGTGCTAGATTACATAAACTATAGTATTCGTTTCTGACAAGTCTAGATCAGGATTTGTTAATTGTAGATCCGCAGACTGCTAAAAGTTATTACAGTGTTCATTATCACCACCAGCCCTTTAATTATTATATTTTTGTCTATTGCGATAGTATTTTTGAGAAAATGTTGGTACCAGTCCTTGCAGAACATTTTAAATATTCTGCTGGGTCTTATAAAACACATTACATATTTTTTCGAGCCACAACGTTTTTTGGAATAGATTATATAGATACTAATATAGATATTAAGTTTACTGTTCTGGTATAAAATTTCTATATTGTTATTTATAGTACATTTGCTATAATTTATAGAATTTGTGTTCATGGTATTACTTTAAAAACCGTCACTTTCTTTTTATTTATATCTGTTTTGTTCTTTTATATGGTAGGTATTATTTTCTCGTAGAGCTAGGATCTCTATCTTTCTAGAATAACTATATTATTAATATTGAAAGTTATTATTATTCAACACATAATTTTTTGTTCTGAGTTTAAAAATTGATTTCTCCTTAGATTAAATCCCTTTACAAATGATACTAATTTAAAAGCGTCGCCAGTAGAGATTGCTAGTGAAGTTTATGAAGAGCCAAACTACAAAACTAATTTATCTTCACCTTCTGAACCATCAGAGGCAAGCACCTGGCGTAGACGCGATTTAGTTTCAATGGCGACTTTCAGGTAAATACCATATTTTTTTAAATAAGATTCAAATTTAGAATTAATAAATATTTAATTGTTAAAAATAGGTTGACAACTGTTGAACTGATACGTCAGAATGAAGGGTATAGTTCTGCATTGCGTGTTCAAGTTGCGGCTATATCATGTGATGAATGTGGCGCTATACCCTGGGATGAGTTACAGGTAATTTTTGATATATTAGCCTACCGTTTTTTATTTAAAAAAAAATTTATTGAGTTTTATATACTATTTATTGCGTTCTTTTTATGTTTATAATTGTTTTTATTATTCTTGTGTTTATTAAGTTTTGTTTTCATGTTCATATATTTGTGTTTTTAAATTACAATATTTCTTTTAAATAAATGTTATATTTAATTTTCAATATAAATAAAATATAATTAAATTTTTTGTTTTGTTTAATTTTAAATTATATTATTATTATTATTTATTATTTAATTCGAGCATTATACTTATAAAACAGTTCAAAGAATTTATTTTAATTTTTAAATAATTTTTAAAAAATACAATATTTACTTTTCAATGTCTCGCTAAAAATTTTCTGCATGCCTTTTTTAAAGACTTTATTTTTGTCTTTTTCACATTTTTAACTCAAAATAATAGTTCGAAATTTTTTTAAATATATATATATATATATATATATATATACATATATATATTTTACACTTAAATTTCAATTTATATTCAGATTTATTTTTTCACTCGTTACACTTGTGAAAGCTTGTAATAAAACATAATTAGTTACATTTTAAAAATAAACAGATCTCAAGAACTTTGTAATTAGTTTTTAAAAAAATTACATATAAGAAATATAAAAAAATTTCAAAAATATTTTTATATATATTATATATTCAAAATTTACTATACTATATAAGTATGAGTCATATTATATTTATTTAGATGTAATTTAAATCTTTAGTTTATACTTTTTAACGAATAATGTTTGTATTATAAATCTTGTGAATTATATATATTTTATATATTTCAAAATTTATTATACTCTATAAGTATTAGTCATATTATATATATTTAGATGTAATCTAAATCTTTAGTTTATCCTTTTTAGTGATTAATTTTTGTATTATAAATCTTGTAAATTATATATATTTAACATAGTGTATATACTTTATAAAATATCTAAATAATAAAAATGTACAGGATCATGTATATTTATTGCAGTTAGTTATTATAAAGTCCTTATTTTATAGGAAACATTCGAGATATAAAATAAAAAGTATTGTAAATTAATTCATAAATAAACACTAAATAATTAAAATTTTTATGTTCAATGACGATATTTTTAAATTTAAAAAATTAATTTTTACTTTAGTAAATTCTAAGGTTGAACATACAACTGTTTCAGATAACGCCAAATATTTATCATGAGTGATCTTTGGCAACATCTATGGGTGTGAATATGCTTTTATTACTTTTGGGCAGCAAGTGCCAGGAATTAAATTCTGTCAAATTTAAATCGTAAAATTGCATATTAAATTTCATAGATTTTACTGTTTTATTTTACTGTTTGTTTATAAACAACACTGGCACTTGCTTAATATTTTTAGAATAAAAGCATAAATCACGGCAATATAAACTAACATTAATATTTTAAATTGTTCTTTTTTTAAATTTAAGTGGTTGTATTTGTTTTATATATTGTTATATTTTGTATATATTATTATTTTAGAATTTATGTTATTATATATTTAAATGTTCATTATTTATTAGTTATTATATTATTACATTATTATTATTATTACTGTAATATTATATAAAGATTATTATTGTATTCTTATATAGTAAATATATTTAAATTTTCATATAATTGTTAATATTTACTTGTTATCATATTATGCCTTATAATTAAGCGACTGTGAATGAAATAATGTTTTAATAACTAAATATTATATTAAATATATATTATATATATAAGTATATTTAACAATTAATATGTAAATTCAAAATTTTCAAAGCTCACAAGTGTAGCGTAACTGTGTACAATATACTATTATGTAAAACTTGAACAAAAATTATTTTTGAATCTCTTGATATTGTAATTTTTTTTTTAAAATATAATATAAACATATACATTATCATATTCTAAGCGACATACATATAACAGTACATTTAATTTGAACATTAAATATCAGCTATATCATTATAAATTATATATCATATAAATATCGTAAATTTATTATTGTGATTTTTTAATTTAACTTCTTATCTTCATTTTTCTCTCTTCTTCTCTTCTTATAAAAATTTTATACAATACGAAACGAAATATATGTTATTAATGTGCGTTAATAATAATGAAAAATATGATTGAATTGCAAAAAAAAAATCAATTAATCAAAACATATAATAAAAACAACTGTAAATTATTTATTTTGAACGAAATTATATCATATTTATAACAACAACATTATTTGAATTAAAAACACTGTTCTTTTGGAAAATATAAATATATGTTTATATATATGTAAATATGTATTACATATATATTATATTCCGTTTGATACTCTACAAAACTACAATTTTAAACTCGTACACAGAACGTTCAACAAGAAAACAAGGTACCTACAAAAAATACTTAAAAAATTAAAATTTAAATTAATTAAAATTTAAGTTGTAAAATTAATTTGGTTGGTTTTGGTTGTGTTTTCTATACATTATCATATACTCGTACTGAAACATTTCTTATATTATTAATTATCAATTTTCATTTTTCGTGTATATTTTGGTTGCCTTTTCCTTGCATTTTACCAAATATGTTCTTGAATTCAATTTGATTGTTTGTTAATGAATTGTAGTTGAATTTCGTTGGAAATTGAATTCAATGGAGTCGAGTTGGGAATGGCAACGATTGCAGTTTTAGTTGGATTTTTTATTTTAATTTCTTATTAAAAAAATTTGTTTTAATATGAAAGAAATTTTTGTGTTATCAGTTTTGTTTTTGTTGCTTGTAGTCTTGTTTAATCTTGCCTAATCTTGTCTAATTCGTTCACCGTGTTTAGAAAACCCCTATCTTATATTGTTATTAAATATTCTATTATAACTATTTATTTATTATAACTTTTTAATATGTCTTTTATATTATTAATATATTATACCATTTGAATATTTTGCGATTCTTTTATTCGCTGGGTTGTATTATTTTATTATATTTTTCTATGAGTTTATTATAGTCATTTAATTGGTTTCCATCGAGAACACCCTATAAACCTTAATTATTTGTACATTTTTAATTTATTTTAATATTTTTTTTTATAAATTCTTAAATAATTTTACTGGGGTGATATTATAATCTATTATCCCATTTATTCGCTGGATGTTGTTTCAGTTTATTATAGACATTTATTTGGTATCCATCGAGAAGATACTATAAACTTTAATTATTTAAATATTTTTAATTTATTTTAATTATTTTTTTTGTTAAATTTTTAAATAATTTTATTGGGGTGATATTATAATTCATTTTAAGTGATTAAAAAATTTTTAAACAAATTTTTTATTTTAAAAGTTGTTAAATATTCTTATTTAAAATTGGAACTATAAACCATATTCACAATCTTAAGCTAGTGCAAAGCAGCAGCTTGAGTTATTATATTTATATTATTAATAGTCGTAATTTTTTCTTTTAGAGTAGCAAAAAAATACACACAACTTACCAGAGAAAACATGTGAAACAACAACAATACTCTTAAAATCTCCAGAGTTAGGTTTTATTCTCAAAAAATTTCAAGGGTCAAATTTCAGTGTAGTCAAATTCAAAAATCAATCTATTGTAAATGATCACTAGAAATATGTTGCAAAATTCCAATCATCCAATATTAATTTTGCTTTCTATTATTTAAATTAATTAATTTTTAGGATTTAGAATTTTAATATCTCATATTGTACACAACACAACATAAAAAATATGTCAAAAAAAGCATTTAACATATTTCAAAAGTGATGCCAATATGTTTCAACCAGACTTAATATTCTTTTTTTACAACTCTGAAAGAAAAAATTACAGCTGATGAATGATATATTAAAAGAAGATAGCGTGGATGGGTGTTAGCAACTGTTCGAGTTACCTTGAATACGTTTTGATTCCCGTTAAATTTTTAGTTGGTTGGTGTAAAATACAACAAAAACCGTTTTTGTTTTTAATTGAGGAAATGGACCTTTTCCTCTTTCATATTTTTGTTATAATAACTTAATGTTATTAAAATCATTGAGTTGTAGTTTATATTAAAAATTTATACTAACTAGATACGAAAACAATACTATAACTAAGTACCTCATTGTTTATTCAGAAATATCTATCTTATAAGATCCAACCAGTGCTTTGCGTATACTATTATAAATTATTTTATTATATTTTTTATTTCAGACAAAAATGTTCTCTTTTTTATATAGATTAAATTTGAACTACAATGCATGAGTGTTTAAATTAAAAAAAATTATATATATTTAAAAAATTTAAAGATTTTTAGAATGTTTTACTGTTACAAGCTTGATTAGTATATTCTTCTTTAAAATTTGCGAAATTATATTAAAAAAATTATTTTTCCTGTATTTTTTGCTGTACTTTATTAATTTGTTTAAGTAAGTTTATTTTTACAAAATTTCAATAAACTTTTAAATAGAAGTCTATATACATAATCTTAACTGCTTAAAATATATTGCCTATATACCTAATAGAGTAAATCGAATGAACTAGTTATATATCTTATGGCAGTTGTAAAAAAATTTTTTTTTTTTTGAAATGTGAAAGAAGTTTTTTAATCTACAAAAAAAAAGATTAAGATTAAGATTAGAGGGTCATCCTTTCTAACGTTAATTTGCTGAATTGTGAATTAAATTTATATTTATCAATAGTGAGTTCTTAAACCTCTCGACTAAAATCGTAAAGATTACTAGTAAAACGTTCCATTTATATCTTACACTTAATTGTACTGATTGTTGTATATAATTTATTTTATTGAAATTTATAAAAAATATAATAAAATATAATAAAAAATAATAATAAATAGTATAAAATATAATTTATTTTATTTATTAAAATATTTTTAATATGTTATTATAAATTTGACTTACATTTCTATTTTTAAGTTTATTTATTATATAAATATATTGACTAAATGAAAACGAAATTGGATTCGTTAAATTTTTTTGGTACAATTAGATATATATATCTACGTATGACATCATAAATATTATTTGTTAGTTTCTTTATTTTTGTATATATATTTTTTATATTTTATCATATCAGTTATAATTAATTCTTTTTTATATGTAATATATTTGTCAACTGTATATATAAGCTCTGGGATTATTTATCATAGGATAATGCAATAATTTTTTATAACTACTGGAGAACTAGATTGCGGATTAAATTTACCAATGCTTATGTTCAATAATTTTATTAGGCAGTTTATTTTTATCTTATTTTATTTTTTTAAATCACATTTTTTATTTTACTTAATTTTTTCGTGCTTTATAATGTTAATATATAATTTTTTTGTCGGATTTTGGGTCGTTTATTTAACAAATTGAAAATTAAAATAATTATAATAAAACTATAATTTTTGTTTGAAATTAATGAATTAAATTAATGTTTGTATTCACATATTTTTTGTATGTTATTTAAAGTAATATAAAACGAAAAACAAATCCAAGCCTGGCAAAAAGAAAACAAACACAAAAATCTTATTTTTAATTATTATTGTTATTATTATTTTTTTTTGAATATTTATTTTTTAATTGTTATTACGAATATTAATATTGTAATTATTATTCTTTCTCAGCGATCATGAATAATCTAAACTAGTCATACAAGTTCATTGTAAACATATTAATCTTATAAAAATAATGTTTAAAAAAAATTTTAATTCATTTTTAAAATTTAAAATTCATTTTTAAAATAATTTTATTTTTTTCTTTTTATTTAATTTTTTTAATTATACATGTTGTAACCTTATTAATTATATTAAAATTAAAAAAAAATTTTTTTTAAAGACAGTTTCTTTATTATTAATATATTCAATTTATAAATATTCTTTAATTATATAAATTTTTATATATTTATAATTATGTAAATTATATTTATAACTACACATTTTTTTACTAAAATTTTTATTTAATAATTATATATTTATTTTTATAATGGGATTTAAATGTTTTCTTTATTATTCTTTTTTAGCATGAAAATTTATATTTTTTTTTGACTTCCTCCTTTAATTCTAAATGTCATCTAGGATCTAAAATCTGCGTATGATTAGTTAATCTATGTTTAGCGTTATCGATCTCTTTTGCTGCTTTGCGAAAAGCTGTGATGTTTCTTCCATTGTCTTAAATAAAATATCTCAATCATTTAAGTTCATATACTTTGATATGTGTTATTGCTTTGCTAATAAATAGATCATATAAATGATTATTGTCTAACTGATTATTCCATTGTTGCTTCCTACCAGTTTTTTTGATAATATTAAACAATTTACATATACCCACTATTTCTCTTGAAAAATTCCAAATTCTGATTTTTGTCAGTCTGAACCAGTTGATGTTTCTAATATAATAATTGATCTATTTCAGTTACTTAGAGTTCTTCTATCAATTGATATTAAGGTATCTTGAAATGCAAAACCTTTGAAATTCTGAGTTCTTGAGAATGTAGTATAGTCGTTGTTGTTGTTGTAGTCCGTAGGGACCTATTTGAATAGTTCCTTTGGGGGTCATAAACGGGAATTGATCATCGAAATTGACCAGGCTGTTCTTGAAATTGTATAGTGTAATTGGTTGTTTTTGATTTATTACACCCACATTTCGGTACACTACATCTATATGTTTACATATCACTTATGTGGTCTATAGTAATATATCTGATTTCTAAAATCAAAGCTTAGTTAATATTATTGCAATTAATATTGTTTTTTTTTGTTTGCCATTAATTTTATTTTTTTTGTAAGAAAATTACTTAAAACTACTTACAAATTGTTTTAATATTTGGTATATCTGTTTATTTTTCACTATGCACTAAGCTTAATAATAGGTTTTTAATATGATTAACGTATTAGCAATTTGATAGTTTAAAATCAAATAAATTATTTATTGTCCTTTATGTAAAAATTATAACCTTAAACTAGATTTTTAAACTTTGTTTAGTCCTTTCTTTATATGTATGTATAGTTTTCTGTTTTCTCTTTAAAATATTATCTTAATGTTATATCTTATATAATCTTACTGTTATATTCTACATTATCTTACTGTTTCTTTCTGATCGGTGAATAAGTAATAATAATTATATTTTATTTTTTATATTATTATTTTACTGTTTTCAAGCATTATTTCTCATTTTATTCTTATTTCGTTTTTATTTTATATTTTTTTTTTTCAAATTTTTTTAAAGTAATAGCTTTAATCCGACTTTGTCATTAACTACCATTTCGAATTCATTAATATATTAATATTTTCATTGGTTAGTTGTTTTCAATCATAATCATTATAATTCACATTGTTATTAAGTCAGACGTCACCATTTGAATTTTCATTTTGATTAACAGGTTCAGTATACGCTTTTTAGAGGTTCAGCTTTTAATAGATAGTTTTTAAACCGCATACACATCATAACACGGCTTATACACACACATACCAAAAACTGCAATTGGCTTAAAACAAGTACATACAGTCCCTGCACAGAACGTTTGTGGTTTTAACATAAATTTCTGTTATTTGAGAAATATTTTTATATATTTTTTATTTTTTTAAAAGTTCAATACACACAAAAAATCTAATTTTTGAAAATTTAGATTATTTACGAAATATGACTACAAAAATTGCATTTATAACTATATTTTTTGTTTAATCATGCAGATATATCGGATATAGCCAAATAATCATTACCAGTGGTCCTTGAAATTCCTGGTATTTATTATTTTTAGTTGTACTCGTAATTTCAGACTGTAAGTGTTAAACGTTGAACTTAAATCCTGTCCAATTTGAAACATAGACATAGACCCACGTACTAGACTAGACGTAATCGCTGTTATTTTTTCTAAACAACTATTAATTTGTTTTACAATAAACCATAAACCACTACTGGCCGAAGTTGAGAAATTAGTGTTGTTGTTTTGGCCAGTATAGGCCAGCAACTTGTTGTTTTTTGCCATACTTGCGAGCCACAGAAAAGGTCTACTATTACTCTCTTTCTTTTAAAACATTTATTACATACATAGTACTATGTATCGCTTATAGTTTGTAAGCTCAGCACATATGTATATTAGTGATGTATTATGATATGTATATATGTGCCCATACCGAAAGTGCTTTCTTAGAAAAGCTTTTTTTATTAACTATATTTTTCAAATAAATATGGTTTGAAGTTTACGGACCTATTCTGTGCACTTTATAAAATATTCTGTGACATAAATAAAAAGCTTTTTTCCTTGTTAGTTGTCAATACTATAATTGCTGTTGACAACTATTAAAATATGCTCTTTTTAAGCAATTTTTATTTTTTGCATGCATGACAAATATTCTTAACTAAAATATACGCTCTTTACAAGCATATTTTTTATTGTGTAGTGAAAAGCACTAGGTACTTGAGCTTTGAAATTTGTCAAGATGTGTCCAGAATACTAAAAAGTTTTCTGCTTTATAAAAATCAAATATTTTATTAAAGTATTTGACAAATCTGTCAAGTGTACAGAATAGGTCCGTAAAAGTATGTGGTTTTTTTAATATTCATTAATTTTTATCTCAAGTACGGTTTAACTTGATTATGAATTAAAGGAGTTAAAAGAGTGGGAACTTAAGTTTAATGTTTATAACCAAATTTAATATGTTTAATATAAAGGAGTATTTAACGGCTTTTGATAAGTATATTTAATTATACCTCAAATATGTATACATTATATATGTCTAAAATAAAGAAAAAACAGCATTAAAATCTTTTTTGATGACTCTTACATAAAAGATACTTTAAATAATAAAACAAATGTGCTCGTAAAAATTAAATACATAAAAACGATACTATGAAAAAATTGTTTACTGCATATTTCATTATTAGTTTTTGTTGATACTTTTTATTAAAAAAAAAAAAAAAATTAGATAAAAATAATAGTGCATAAATTTGTTACTGTTATCAAACAATTGGATCAATTCTTCAGTGATTCCATGAAGTAAAAATAAGATTTGTTGGTGTGTATTGAAGACTATAAAAAGATTAAAAATATCTATACTGGCAGGCATCTACTAGAGTTGTAATTGTTTGTTTGTTTATTTAAAGTTGTTTATAAAATTTTTAATGCTTCAACACATTCCCGCTTCACTCTGGTTGCGAAGCTTGCACCGTTTTGCATGTGTTAAAGGTTTTAGCTTGAATTCTTAGTTAAATTTATATACACAGAAAAAAATGTTATTTCTAATTTTATTTAAAATAAATTTTATTTAATTTTATTACATGACGGCGACACCTAAAATTTTATTTGCAAAAGACAAAATTTGGTGCTCGTTGTAAAGCTTGGAATTTGGCACCATATAATCCTGAAGCTCCACCTTGTATACGTTTACGCCTGGAGGAGACATTGCATCCGCCGCAAGGTGCCATTGTTATAACAGATAAAAAATGCATACAGAAGTGAGTTTTCAAAATAATTATGTAGTTCTTAATTATATTTACTCCTTGTTATGACCAAAAATTAATTAATATATTATATGTATTAATAATATATGCATATATATAAAAATACTGTTTTTTTCATCAGATTTTTCAAAAACTAATTCATTGATTAGTTAAAGAATTGTAAATTTTTTAAATTTCTTTTATTAATAGTTATTTTTATATATATATATTATTTTTTATATATTGTGGCAATATAAATTTGATCAATTTGTTGTCAGCGTATAAATAAAACATTTTTATATTTTAACTATTTATCGAATATATTAATAACTCTTCTATTACATTAATATTTTTCAGTTGGTTTACACATAATGCTGATATACGTGTCAGAGATGTTAATTTAGATTTATCGATGAGCACCGTTATCGGTTTAGGTGATTTGGCGGAAGATGAAATTATATCAAATCCATTGCCAGTAAATGTAAGTAGATTCTTCCATGTATCTCTTTACCTTCAATATACATCAATATAAATCATTAAAAATACTGTTTAAATAAAAACTAATACCCATTATGTACTTCAAAAAATATTTCGTTATGCAGTTTAAACTAAATTTAATCTTTATTTATTTAAATAAAATAATATCAGTTGATAATAACATAACTAATATTATTAACTTATTAATAATATTAATATTAATTAACAATATTAATGCTAATTAATAATATACATGTATGATGCTATTTGATATATATAATGCTATATATAAATAATATAATTAATTAATATTTATTATTTTATGACCAAACAATTTTTAATATAGTACTTTCACAAGCTAAGTGGTCAATTTTTTAATATTGTTTATAATGAAAATTCAGAAAAAAGAACAAAATATAATAATATATTTATTTATATAATTTACTGTAAAATAATTTTTTGATTTCCCTTAATTTTTATTTTAATTTAACAATATATATATATATATATATATGAACAGTATTTATATATATATATATATTAACAATATATATATTATTGACATTAGTTTATAAAAACTCTATATTAATAATTAATAAATAATAATAATATTAATCAATTAATAATAATAATATTATTAATTAATTAATAATAAATAATAATATTAATTAATTAATAATAATAATAATAAAAATAATAATAATATTATTAATAAATTAATAATATTAATTATAAATAATAATATTAATTAATAATAATAATAGCATTAATTAAAATTATTCAATTATTTTAATTGTTTAAATTTAAATTAATTTGAATTGGGTAAATTAAAGATCAATAAATTAATTTCATTAATTTCAATTAATTTAGATTTATATAACTGAAAAAAAAACAAATCAATTTAATTTAACAGAATTTTATTTGTGTGAAATTAATTTAACTTATTAATATTAAAAACTAATTCGACAATTTAAATTAATTTATAAAACATAATTAATTCGATTTCTCAAAAATTTAAGATTAATTTAAATTTATCAAAACCAAATTATTTTAAATAATTTAATATCCTTTATTTCTGGAATATCTGCTCTGGAGTCTTCGATTTTTAATTTAAAACTTTTGATTTTAGTTTATTTGTGAAATTCTTGACTAAGTTACACGATAAATAGATTCCAGTGGAGCTCGGCTAATGAGTTCACTTAGAACGTAAATTGATCTATTGTGATCATACAAAGAAGTGGATTAGATCGAACCATCTATCTAGTAACGTTTATAGTGTACATATAATATTATTAATTCCAGAAAGATATAAAGTGTCCTAGGCCTTTCCTAAGACAATTTTTAGGAATTCTTCCTCAGTTCTTAGAAAGAACTTTTATTAAAAAAAAGGTTTCTTGGTGACTGGTAGGAAATCGATATTCCGATATTGTATTTGTGACAACGAATTTTAGTTGAGAAAAAAATTGTTCAGAATATCTGTGGTTACTGACTACTATAGAAACCAATGCGATCTTTTCTTCGTATTTTATTTTTATAGTAGTTTCTTGTCAGTTATTACACTTGATACTTGACAATTGTTTTTGTTCCAGTGGTGTTTTGTTTAACTGGAAGTTTTATTTCACTTTAACTTATGTGCTCACATTACATTTCGAATGAAATCATAATCATTGCTTCTAATAAGACCTTAAATAAAGAATGGGAAAGCAGTACAAAATGGGAAGAAAATTAAAAGAATAATTCGGTTATATATATATGGACAATTTAATAGAAGAGGAAGAAGAAAGCATTGTAAGAAGGTCTCTGATCCTTCATAAAAAATTCAAGTGGAAGAAGCACATAGATGAAGCTTTTGTGCAATAAACCCTCGCATCTGTTGTGTTACTACTATGGGCGCTCAATTTTTAAATTCACTCAACGGTTTGTCGTCGGCTTAGAGTACAAAGGTGCTAAGTTCAGATTTTCAGATTTTACAAAAAACTTGAAAAACTTGATAATGGATATTTCTTTTAAGTCCCAAATACAGTTCCTGTGCTTTTAGTTCTTTTTTTAAATAAAATTAGTACAAAATATTTCGATTATAATTAAACCCTGTTTTATTTATTATCATATTTTACGTTGCTTTTGTGAAGCGTAGCACCTTATTTTAATGCGAGGACACCCAATTCTCTTCCAAAGTTACGGGAATTGTGGAATTAAAATGGTCTTTAAGCTAATTGAATTGACTATGATATCCTTTCGCTTCATCTACTTACTTACTGATGATAATTATAAATTTCGAACTATGATCCAACGATACTACTTAGATTAAGTTTCATGAATTTTTTTTTATTTACAAGATTTGAAAAAATTGGTAAGGAATTTTGAAGTAAGTACTAGTGTTGCTGAAAAAGCTACGCTTTCTTTATGGTGATAAAGAAGCTATATTTAAAATTTAGAGGGTTTTCGAATAGCAAAGAAAGAAAGAAAGGACAAACACAAAAAGAAAGAATTTTAAAATGTACGCTGCAATTACTCTAAAATTTGGGGATTATGAACTATTCTATTTTTTGAATAAACAGGAAAATATCAATTAATGTGTAAGAAGTTAAAAACAGACTAAGCTGTTACAAAATACTTGAAGATTACTCAAGAATACTCATATCACAGTTATTTGTTTTTGTTGCTAATTTACCTAACTACCCCTGTACACAATTCTTTTTTAAGCGAAAAAACATTAAAGTACAGCTTAAGCTATAGTCTGCAGAGAGCAGAATTAGGCTCTTAAATAAAAATTTAGCTATTGAAAACCTAAAAGCTTTTAATGTATTCTCCATTGGAGAGAATAAAGATCAGAACTGCTTCTATTTGTTGTGAGTTATATATGGTTTATAGTTAATAAACGATTGTAGTTACTTGCCGAGTTAGTCACCTAGTTCAAAGAACAGTGTATACTATTTTTGTATTTGCAATATGAAGCTCCGGTAAATATATAGTGAAAAGTATTGGTATATATAAAATCAAAAAACACATTCTCCTTGCATTGTACAAAACAGATTAAATGCTTATTTATCTTTTGTTGTTGCATATAAACGCATACTTTGCTCTGGTTATGTGTAATAGCCTGGAATTAAACACTCTCTTTTTATATCCATAAAAAAATCATATACCAATTCACAATTAAGAGTTATTATATAAATAAATCAATTAAGTTTTGTTTTTTGAGAACCAGTACTCAAGTGTTAGTAAGTTAGTTTCGATTTAACTGTCCATCATTGCACACACGATACTGAGTGAATATTGTGAATACGGGTAGTATCGCATCGAACGGGTAAATAAGGCTAAATCGTCCATGATGTCAATCTACCTAACTTAATAAAAATATAAGTGCAACTAGAATATTATCAATATGTCCTGGAATAATTCCTTAGAAAATAGCGAACATAGTGAAGAAATTCAAGTCGGATCGAATATATTCTCGGAATTGGTTCGCTATCCTAGTAATTTCTCAGAATTATTACGTTTTTGGCAATCTATTCAAAAGGCGGCAGAAAATGATAAGAACAACAACCAACATAATCAAGTTAAGAATATAGCAAAACCAACAAATGCCAACAACAACAACAGCGACAACGGCAGCGAGAACAACAACAACCATTTGCCAAAAGGTATCAAGGAACTGCATATATATTACTATAAACATTGGAACCTATACGCTCAGTTCATGACGTATGACATCAGAACACATATAGTTCGTAAATATTTACATATATTTATTTTTATGGACTTTTTAATGCCTCCAAGTAGAGACTGTGAATCTTCTGTTCCAAATTATGTCGCTCGTAAGATATATGTGGGAAGGCGAGGTAATTATAAAGTTGATACCTTTTTGATTGGTCGTCGCCGTTTTACGTTTTTAATAGCGCAAAAGTATCCATTAGAAGTCGTATGTCCCCGTAAAATCATGATCGGTACTTTTAATTTACCATTCCGTGTGCGTAAATTTTTATATGACAATATTCTTGAAATATTTGATCTGGACAATGATCATAACCATTGTAAATTCCAACTTATTGTGGAGCACTACTTATACAGTGCTTCGCGTTCTATTCCAATGTTTATGCTAAGCTATTCCACTATAAATTCGGATTGGCATTTAACTTCAAATACAATTGTTAGTGCTTCAAATCAAGTAGTGCGTTTAAATACATTGCTGCCGTTTCGTAGATATCCACTAAATGATGAAATTAAACGCTTAATGCCTTTTTCTCGTTATACTGATCACTATTGTAATTTCATCGAAGAGCTCTGTGTATGTATGACATATATTATAAACTCATGTCCAGTTTTGTTGAATCCCACACAGTTCAGTCAACTTCGCATTGCAAGTAATGGTTACAATAATTGGATTTCAGGTTTTCTACTTGATAAAACTTGTGGTCTTGGTTATCATTTCATGACTAAAAAAATGGGTATAATCTTCAACGATTCCACAATGTTGGTTGTAAGTTCGATAGATTTATCTCAATTGGAGTACACTAATGTTCTTGGCAGAACAAATCGCGTAAATTTTCCATTTGATTATAATTATTTGGGCTTAAAAATGAAGCTGTTATTATCCTTTAAAAAATATATGGATCATAATTTCAAAGTACCAATCGTCCAATACAGTCGTGGACAAAAGTTGCCAGGTGCTCCGGTGGTGTGTTGGTTCCAAACACAACATGTTGTTGCCATGTTCATTAGCGATAATAAAATTCAGTTCAATTTTTTGGGTGAACGTTTCAGAGCTATATTTGACTTGAACAATAATACTATGACAATATCAGATCAGAACTGTCCACTCAGACGGGGTTGTTACCGATTTAGAGATGTTGCCCATTATGGCTGCGATACTGACTTACTGGATAAAATTGCTTATTTGCGCCAAAAAATGTTGGATACCATGCAATTATATACAAAACACTAAACGGATGAAATCATTAAATTAAATTTTTTTAAGTTAATTCATTTTAATATCATATCTTTATGAACTCTGTAGTCATATTGTAAATAAATCAAATATAAATATATGTAATCATTTTTAAATAAAAGTTGAGTTATTGTTTTTGAGACGAATTGTGAAAGGAGTGAATTTAAATACATTGCTATTAAATAACTATATTGGATTTCATAATATCAGAGGTTTTAGACTCTTATGTCTTTCATAGAATGACGCCCACAATATACCTTGGAAAGAGATAATAGATAAGATGTAAATTATATGCGTAGCTAAAGAGAAAAAAATTCTTTAAAAGTATGCCCGAAGTAATATTGTTAATACTTCATAATATATATTTTGTACATACATAACTCAAGAATAAATTAGTCGTATATGAACCTCTGAAATGAAAAGTTGGTTTTTTTTTATTTTGTTGAAGATATAGTTTTTCCAAGAACAGAGGCAAATTTGACTCTACCATTACCGACCGGATGTCTTTCAATAAATTACAGCAAAACGTTTAATATGGGAAGGAGATGTTCCAAGGAGATGAAGTATCTAGGGGTCATCCTTAATAAAAGCCTATATCGGAATGCACACTTATCGTACATTACAAACAAAGCCTTGAGAGGTGCACACTCTTATAAAAGGCTGGGTCCTACAAACCTTTTATAATGCCAATGATCACCTATGCTTCATTAGCATGGTGACCAAAGGCAGACCAAGAGAAAACTCGAATGTTCTTGAATAAAATTCATAAAACAGCTTGCTTGAGTATTATCGGGGCGGTTAGAATATGCCACACAGTAACCCAAGGAATAATTACAGGACTCCATCCTCCTTTCCTTGCGGCCAGGAAAACGGCAACCTGTGTGTCCTTAAGGCTACTCAATATACACCAATTTAGAGAAAGCAACATAAAGGTACACATGAAGATAATGGAAGTCTTCTGGAACACACCGTGTCTCGCGGTCTCCAATAAGATAGATAAGAAGTTTTGAAGAAGAAGTGATAATAAAATATTAAGCTTTTTATTCTTATTCATGGCATACACCTTCTCCACTTTCTATAAACGCTCGTCGACTAAATACTTTATTTGCTTCTATGCGTCATTTGAGTCAAAAGGTTTTAAATAAATTTTTGTGTTCTACGTTGGTGGTCATACTAAGCACCCTAGTGTTGGCTAGATGGGCGACTCCAGATGCTGACATAAATTGTTGTCTGACTAATTTATTATGATATTAAGAAAAAAAACATATATATTGAACATATCTATCAAACGTGGTTTTAACTACTTCAAAGAATTAAACATACTGAAGATCAAAAAGTGTGTGTTGCTGACAGGACTAATATCTCCGCGTTTAAGAAGCTAAAACACGGAGATATTGATCAACTGCGATCATGTAGAATGATTACAAGCAATCGAATAACAGATTATAGAGAATAAGGTAACCAGAAGTAGAATACGAAAAAGTTTGTCTATTTGATTTGTCAATCAATATTTGATATCAGTAACAAGCTCTTTTAAAAGTATATACAATTCTCTTACGCCCTTTATGTTGGGTCATTGCGATAACTTTTAAGTTTTGTTTGGAATAACAGTAAACAAGTTGATATATATGGTACATAATTCAACATGAAGGAGCACCATAATATATAATCATTATTTATGTTATATTTATGTACAGAAACCCAATTTCACTAGTATACAAAATATATATAATTATCCAGATATATAAAAATATTTTATAATATAAATCTTAAAACAACATTAAAGCAAATAACATTAAAGTTTTTTTGGTTATTTTTCCTAAAATATTTTAGTAATAAATTTTTTATCATTTATTACAGATTCTGTTAGAAAATGTTAAAGTTAATTTAATTGATGATCGGCCGCCAGTTAATATAACCTCACCAGGACCAACGCCTATAAATCTGTCCATTGGTCGTATGCATTTAAAGCGTGATAAAAATGGTGTTTTAAATATACAACCAATTGGTGAGTTGTCCCAAACTGAATTCTACCGATATTTAATATAATTACAATGTTTTAAATTATAGATATAAATTTACCAGGAACGACTGCGGCTAATTATCCTTTAACGTCAGCAGTTTTGAATGCAACGGCACCACGTGATAGAGAACGTGATCGCGAGTTATTATCAATGCAACTTGTTATGCAGCAATTAAAAATGGATAACGAAAATCTACGTAAACAATTAGTCAATGCCAAGGAGAATGCAGATACTTACAGGTAAGTAATGTTTAATTACAATCTTATCAAAAGTTAATTTAATTTTTTTTTTTTCTCAGACAAAAAACAAAACAGGACAATGATGTCCTACGTTCCTATTTGAAAGCAGCTCAAGATGATATTACCATATTATTAGAAGAAAAGAAAGCTTTGTTGGATACCATACGTTCCTTACAGGTTTAGTTAAATTTTGTATAGTTTTAATATCCTTTCTTTTACTAAATATGATTTATAAAAATTTTACAAATTTTATTTTAATATGAATTCGTACACTACTAACACAAAAGTTAATGGTTATAATTTTTTATATTGTATGTTATTAAAGTTTTATATAATATTCTTTTTAAATTTTCTTGTTAATTTTCAACAATTTTTTGTATACTCTTTTGCTTTTGTTATGAAGTTGAAAATTAACTCTACAAATACACACGCAAGGATCAGAGGTCAGTTTTTATACTGAATAGATTTTTCACTTTACACGCTGTGCATTTTGTATGGCTTTTTTTTTATTCAAATATATAGAAACAATTAATTTAATATATATCATTTTATTTTATTAAACAATTATGACTAGAGTTGAAAATAATTTATTTCGATTGAATTTGTTGAAAAAGAATTGATTTGTTCAAATCAATGTGGTTTCAGTTATTCTCTATACATATAGAGTGAAAATCTTCGAATAGTTAAAAATTATGGAATAAAATGTATTAAAAGTAAAAGTTAATGAATTTATAGCTTATTTTATTTGTTTAACTAATAAGAATATAATAATAATTAAAATTCCAAACCATTTGATTACACAGCTAAAGCTCCGTTATAAGGATGCTCTTTTAAACTGACATCTGACATCTCTTTTAATCTTTTAATGGAGCAATATTGCTAGACCCCAAATTTACAGCTATCAGTTATCAATTAAAGTATGTTTTTTTAACCTTCACCCTGGCATCAATTTCATATGCGCTTTTTGTGTCCTAAATTTAGGAAAGGCATATGTTTAACTATTTGATGTTTGATTTATTTTTCATGTGAGGAGGTTTGCTGAAATTACCCGTCTCATAGTTGTCGAATATTTGTAGTAAATCATTCTTTTATAAATTATTTTTTACCATTTAAAAATGTTTTTTTTTTGTGCGACAAGGAGGACTAACCATAATCTGGTGCCTCGGAAAGTGAGTACCCGACTCGCACGGACTAAACCACTCCCACTCATTTCCAGAGAACTTGTTTTACCCCGGGACTACCTTAGTATTATTTCCAAGTAGGGTCCCTCTTAGATATTTAAAACTTCTATCGGTGTGACCTACGTTCAGACCCCGCTACTGCTGCAGGTGATTAACCTTGCCCTTCAACTTGGTATGATACATCTGCTTTCAATCTCAGAATGTGTGTCCCGGCTCCCACTCCTGATCCGAATTGAAATGTCATCAGATTGCTTTTCGTTTTAGATTAGTCTAGATTAGTTTGAGATCTTTCTTCTTTTTCCTTAGCTCGAAAATTGTTCCAATTTTCTGCTCGTTCGGTCTTTAATTTTACTACGATGTTCTCGTGGAATATAGAAAGTACGAGTGTGAAGATGTTTGAGAGTTGTGATAGTCTTAAACCGCTTCAGTTCAGCTTGCTGTACCTGCATATCAAGAGATTAAATCTACAATGCGATTTTTAAATATTTCAAAGTTTGTGTTCATTTTAATTAGCAACTTTCAAAGTAGCATCGACCTATGAAATCTATAGACCACGTGGAAATATGTTAGATAGACAGTTGGTTTTGTTAAGAGGACGTAACGAGTAAAGTTGTGGTGGTTATGTGTTGCTGATTCGTATTATTTTCTGACGGTCAAAACAGAATCAAAACTAATTGATTATAGAGCTGAAAAGTAATCAGAAGGGTTTATGATTTAGTTCGTTAGTATAAGAAACTAAAAGAAATTTAATATGTAATAATATGTTTATATTTCACTTTCATTTGCTATTATTATTGTTGTGACCCGTAAACAAACTCGTATCTGTCTTTTTGGGCGTGGCGAACAGCTTTTGATCATCGACCACTTGAAATCGCTTTGGGACGTAGACCCAACCTTGTTGACTATTGAATGTCTTTGGTTAGTACGATGAAGAAAAATGAAACATATTTGCCAACAGAATTCAAGGCTTCACTAATGCAAAGAGTTTATTCTATAAATAGTCAACTATTTTTAGTTATGATGAGAAAAAAATTTTTTGTGATCTAGAGAAGAAAAATTATTCTACAATTGACTTTTAGTTTAATTTTGGACTTAGTTTCTGTTGAAGGTGTTCGTGTATATTCAAAAGTGAAAGGGTCTATTAGAACCCTATCTTGAATCAAGGAAAGTTTATAAAAAGATAGTGCGATACAAGACAAATTTATAATATTGTACAAGAAATGAACTCGAATAGGGTAGAATTATATCAATTTGGTAGTATCAAATTCAGTTTATTTTTCGTAATGACAATCAAATTTCTAAGAAATTCACCTAAAAGAGATACTGTAATTAGTTATAATTTTAAAATTTTTATTATTATATTCTTTTTTAAAATAATGAAAATTATAAAGTTATAATAATATGTAGTGCGAGAATGCATGTAATAGTCCAAATAATATTAAATGTTTAAATTTAAATAACTGCCTTTGACTAAAATGATAGAACATTTTTAGATATTTTCAACTCTAAGCATGACGTATTTTTTGGTGCATTAGATTATATTGATTTATCTCTATATAGAAGTGCTCACATCTGATCATAATATATATGCAGATTTTTTGAAGTTGCTTTGTTTTAATTATTTAATTATTTATTTATTTGAAATTTTAGTTGAACAATAGTGAAGCAAGTTTATTTAATTTATTTATAAATGAAATGCAACTGCTTTTATATTTTTCACTTACCTTCACGAATTTTTTTTTCTTTTAAACTATATATAAACATTTTAATAAATCTTAATACTACTGGTAATCATATTATTTTACCAGAAATAGAATTCAGCTTGAATATATATTTAACGTTAGCTGATTTTGAATAAGCATTTGATATACTATAATTTGATATAATAATTATTATTTGAAAAATACTGGAACCTCGTGGTATCTCTGACAAAATGGTTAAAATTATAAATAATAAAAAGTAATTATGATAGAATAACTTGCCGACTTTTGCTCAATGGAGTTCTGAGTGGCTCGTGAAAATGTTATTATGGAGTTAGACAAAAGCATGCACTCTCAGCTGTACTGTTTGTGATTATTCTTGATAATGTTCTCAAGATTATTTTTAGACAGCCAACAGTTATAGAAAGAAAATGATTTGACATGTGAACCAGTTGATTTAGATCTAACACTGTGCTGCATTCATCTACTGGACATTTAATATATATCAAATGTTTACTTTAATATTTTTTGATAAAGTTTTATTTCAAAGAACTTTCATAAAAAATAGAAATGAATTCTGTTATGAAATTTACTATTTTACTTATTATAGATAACATAATACATTTTATAAAAAGGTTTTTTCGAAAACTAATGAACTACAATAACAAAAAATCATTTTTATAATTTTTCAATTAATTAAATACAACTTAATTAAATACAATTAAATAATAAATACAATTAAATACAATATTGCCAAATACCCATCAACAGTGGTCTTGGAAATAATTCTTATATTTAATTATTTGTAAATAATTTTTTGAGACTGCAAGTTTATAGTAATATATTATATATTATAAAATAATGTATTATCATAAATAATATATTATCATAAAATAATACATAAAACAATATAATAATAAACATAATAATTGTTTTATGTAATAATACATAAAACAATATATAATAAAATATTAGATAACAAATAATAATATATTTTATAATAATTCGAGTGATGTATTGGGTATGATGTTTATTTTGGAGTTTATATACACTTCTTAGCTGCTTGTAAAATACCTTTAAAAATATAAACTTTACACAATAAACAAAGTTTTTTTAACAATTTTTGTTTTTTTAAATTAGTTCACATATATGCTTTTATTTTAAACATAAATAAATTGTTTAAAATTATTTTAATTTATTTTTTTATGTACTATAGCTCCAGCTGACATCTTCGAATATGAATAGAAAAGGCGAAGGTAATAGGTAGCACAACTGCATGGACTGCATCCAGTGCTGTGGCGAAAATAACAATCCATAAAATCAGTATATATAAAGTTTGAATAAAAGAAAATTGTGTTATATATATATATATATCTACATATATATGTATATAAATGATATATAAAAAATGTCATATAAGAAATGTAAAACTTTTACAACTTTTGTCATAAAAGAAAAATAAAAAACTATAGCTGCAATAAATTGTAAAAATGATATTATGTTTTTTTAATTAACAGTAACAACTTTGAAGAAAATGTTTTCTTTAATAATTATAAATACATATAAACCATCTTTAATTAACTATTTATAACTCAAAGCATTTATTTAGTAAATATGCTTCGTTTTGTTTCTCTTAACCTTGAGTTGTAAGAAGACTGATCTTAAAAATTTATTAAACAAAAAAAATAAATAAATAAATAAAATTATTATTAATTAATAAATAAATCCAAAAATGTAACTAATTTTTAATCAATGTTCAACATTCCATTAACATAATTTTTAGTCTACTAAAGCTTTAATAATTTTTAGTATTGTTTATTTTATATAATATATATATATATATATATATATATATATATATATATATTTTTTTTCGATTATATTATTATATTTGAATTAATATTGAATATTTACATAATGCTAAAAATCAATTGTAAGCTATTGAACTTTAAAGAAATATAATAAGTAAAATTAAATTATATATGTGTATAAATGTATAAAAATGTACAACAACAATCGTTAATAGACTTTATGTAATTATATTAATTAAATTATATATAGAAATACAAGGTAAACATCAAGTAAAAATCGATTGTTTTGTTGATTAATGCATATTATGCTTTCTTAATATTTAATAATTTTTCTTTTGTATATGCCATTTTATAAATAAATAAATAATAAATAAAACAAAAAGTAAATACGCATTATTTTTACTTTAAAAAATCAAGTAAAAATTAATAAGTAAAAATATTTTCAATTTACTAAATACTTTATAAACTATTATATTCAATTAAGAATTGTTTGCTATTATTGAAAAAATAAGTTTTCTTATAATAAAAAAATTAATATTTTTTTTAATATAAAAAAAATATTTTTTTTGTTACAAAAAAACTATTTTGATTTATGCTTATAACAATATTATTATAGAAGAAAACTATTAAAGTCTATTTTTTTTTATCACAAGCGATTTTTACTAAAGATGTATTTATAAAAAAAAATTAATAAATTTTATACATAAAAAATAAAATTAATAAAAACTATTAATATTTGTTAAAAATATAGTCTATTGTGAATTGCATAAACGCATAGTTGTGACTTTTAAATCATATCATCGTTGTTAAATAGTAAAATCAATTACATATAAAATTTATATTTTTAAACTTTAATTGTTCGTTTATATTCAGAATGTTATTTAGCGTTTTTAAGTAGTTATAATGCTTGGAATATACATATATACATACTATACTTAAAAAACTTATATATAATTAATATAATTTAAAGAATTAATAAAAGTTTGTAAATGTTTTAAAATAACCAAATGAATAATAAATGTTAATAAAGAAATTTATTATTAATATGTTTACTATAGCCGAGATTTTTTCTTTCAGAGTAGCAAAAAAATACTCACAGCTTACGAAATAAAACAACATAGCTCTTGAAATTTTCGGAGTTAGGAATTACTCGCAAAAAATTTCACGTCTTAAGTATTAGTCCAGCCAAATTCAAAAATCAATCTATTGTGAATGTTTACTGGAAATATATTGCAAAATTCCAAACATCCGTTAAAATCACATGAACAGAAATAATAACAAATTGCAATATATTAAAGCAATAAGATAAAAAAATACTTACCATTGCTCTTCTATTCATCATTTTTTTTTTATTTATTTTATATATTTTTATATCTTTTTATATCTCATATTGTACACAACACAACAAAAAACATATGTCAAAAAAAGCATTTAACATATTTCAAAAGTGATGCCAATATGTTTCAACCAGACTTAATGCTGTTTTTTTACAACTCTGAAAGAAAAGATTACTGCTTATGTTGAATTTTTAATGCGATTAATATTATTTTTATGGAATAAAACGATATATTAAATATCCTTGTCTATTTTATTCTGTAGTGTAACAATTATTATTTAAAATTAAGAGATAGCTTCAAATTTCAAATTTTTGTTTATTCAAGTTCACATTATTTTGTTTCTTAAATGTTTTTTTAAAATCACATGTTAAATGTTTCTTTACTCGTATTATTCGCAATAGGTTTCTTTTAATTACTTAAAGCATGTGGTTTTTGTTGGACACAATTTTTTTTTAATTTTGTTACAAAACGAAATACAAAATTTTAAATTTTTATGCAAATTGGTCTTAAAGATGTGATTTTAAAAATTTTAACTGCATATACCATATATAAATGTATATTGAGTAAAAATCAAAAAACATTTAATTTTTAAAATAAAGCGTATTTTCTTCTTGTTATAAAATTTATTTATATTTTTTTTATTTAGGATTTATTATACTTCTCATGCAATTATAAAACAGAAATTTAAAATTATGATTTTATTTAATAATAGTATAATTTTAATATTCTAAAATTATTGAAAATTTACAAAATGATCAAGAAATGTTTGCGTTTCGATTAATATAAATATTAATAACAAATTAAATTATAAAATTGATATTATTTTATATTGAGTATACATAATTTTACAATTTAATAATAAAAAGATTTAATAATTAATAGAGTTATCCATTTCATGGTCCTGATTTGGTAGCAATAATTCAGTGATATATGTTGAACATAACTGTCACTCCAGTCATCATATGTTTAGTGGAAAGTTTGCCATTTTGCAATAAGAATCGTTTAACAACTGCTGAATGTGATAATGTGGTTTGGTGATTCTGCAGTAGGTACATATATATATATTTTATATATTGCGCGGAGTTATAATATCTTTATGGTATTATGTTCTACATCTTATAATAATATCTTAAAAATCAAAATTTTACTGAAATTCCAAATATAAGTGCATTTTTTTTACGTTTAAATTTGGAATCATAAAATGGATAACCCTGTAGATGTCTCCTAAAGGAAGTATTGATATTCGTATTAATGAGCACTCCTTCAAACTAACTTATATATAATTTAGTTTTAACTGAAATTGTTTTAATTAAATTTATTAATTAAGTTATGAAATTTAAATAGAAAATCGCTGTATATATATATTTTAAATGTATGATATATTTTAAATATAACGACATTTATATCCATTTTCATAGAATTTATAACAAATTAAAGATTTTAACATTTTCAAAAACATAATTTATTAACTTTTATAATTAAAATCACACAGTACATTGTGTGTGGTCATCGTATGACACTACACATCGCTAACTAATAAAAATACAATATATATAATTAATATAATATTTTTATAATTTTTATCGTGTGATATCTCAATTATATTTATTTATAATTTTGTTAACATTTGCTTAAGTTTCTTTATTCAGTACCATTTGCACAGAGACTGTTTCAATAAAAATTAATATTTTATAATTTAATTTAATATTTAAATTATTTAATTATTGATTCAGTTACCGATTTTGTATTAGTTCTTTACATTATCATATCATGATGCCATTGTGTTTTGAAGTTCACGAATAATTATTATTTTAATTATAAAATCTTTTGTGTCGATTTAAAAAATTAATTAATAATTAATTAAATATACAAATCAATGTTGCTATCGATAATCAATAATCTTGCAAGACAATTTATCTAGAATTGCATAAATGTATTCCTGTGTATAGATTTTTTATATATAGGGTTATGTTTTGTGAGTTTATTAATAAACTCCGTCCCTTATTTGATATATCGTTAATCTGCACTCAGTTCCACGCTAACTTTTTTTACATTAATATTTTACTATTTACTATATAAATCAGTTGAACTGAAAGTTGAACTTGTCAAAGATAAATGATTATATAGTGTTCAAGAAATTTCAGTCAATTAATTGGTGAATTATTGCTTGTAATTATAATGTGATCTTATATTACTTCAACCAAATTTTTTAATTCCAGATAAAAATTATTTATTGTTACAAATATCCATAAATTAGTTTTTACAGTTCATAAAGCTTATTTAATATAATTAAATTTATTTCAACTTATTTAATATAATTTAACTTAGCTTAATTCGACTTTACTAAAATAAATTTAAGAAATATTTAATTTATTGTTAAATATATCAACTTCACTAAATGTTTTATTTAGAGTATAAATTAAATAAAGTATATATTTTCATTAACAAAACCAAAAAAAAAAAGAAATATATACGACTATATATAAATTTATAAGTATATAAAAATAACTACATGGCGAACTTGGAGAGAAATCATATATTTAATTTTAATATTTAAACAATTTATTGTAGTATATTATTCAGATTTTTATAAATTTATTGAAATAACATAAATATAAATAAATTGAATAAATTTATTTAAAAATAATTGCATTATTTTACAATTATTTACTTATAAATGAAATAAAAATATTTCGACTTAGCTAGAGAATGTAAACAAATTTAACATATACGTATATAACTATATATATATAAAATAAAATATATAAATAAAAATCTTAAAAATGGATTTTTTTTAATGAAATTATAAATAAATGTTAAAAAATAGCAGTTTATGAATTGAAATGATAATATATTTTACATGCCAATTGTAATTAGACGTATATATTTATTATATGAGAATGTATACATATATATGTATATATATTTATAGAATGTGTATAAATATTTTTGCATATATTTGTACATTCATTAATATAGAATATATATAAATATATTTATATATATATATACATACAATTCTTAAAGATATATATCTCATATCTTTATACATCAAGTTACATCTATATATTTACATATATAATAAACAAAAATTTAACTTTTATGCTATATAACGATATATATATATATATATATATATATATATATATATATATATATGTATATATATATATGTATATATGTATATATGTCACTTTCATTAAAAAATAAAAAGTTGATTGAAAAATGTAATTCTCATAAATGCTT